TTGCGGCATCTCACCATGTTACTAAGTCCCGGATTTAGACCGAAGTTGAAAGTATAAAGGGCAAGATCCTCTGTCATAGCAATCCGTCCTGACAAATCTTTCTTAGTAGTAACAGAGTTATGTATCTCGGTTTGCATGTCTGTTAAGCATGTTTCTAAACGTAACGCGAATTGCGATACTGATTCGTTGGGCTGCTGTTTACATGACTGCAGCTCAAAGAATAAGTGGCTGTAATGTTTCTTTTCTCCGAAGTTTTGTCGCAGGAATGATTGCAATGATTCGAAATCTTCAAAAATTTTATTTGAACATGCTATTTGAACCTTGTCTCGTAATTTAGACAATATGTATTTTAAGATCAACTTTTTTTGGCTCTCTGAGGCAAGATTCAGCGCATTTTGGCAGTTCGTTAAGAATGCAGGTAAAGTTTCGCGATCTCCTCGGTATATATCAATAAAGTCACATAAGATTTTAAGAGGATATTGTTCACTGAGTGACACTTCGGTCCTAGACATTTTGAAAAATGGTTAGAGACACGATTAGGTATAAATTAGATAAAGATTTTGAGATTGTAGGATTTGGAATTATTTGAAATGGGAATAGGATTAGCAATAACAAGAGATAAGATATTCTACTCACAGCAGCACGGCGAGCAGGAGTGTGGAGTACATCGCAGACTTCGTAGAGGTGACCAGGTAAGTTGAACACACCAGGTACTGGAACAATGACGGCAGCAAGATCGGGCGGCAGTGGGGGTCGTGTGGTAAGTAGCTCTAGGACAGGACACGTTGCAGCGCGTCAGCGAGAGCAGGAGAGGCGTCAACGACCCGGTAGCTCAGCAATGGTGGGCTGACAAGACTCACTTTCTAAGTCAGGTAATTTTCAGGTGCCGGAGTTCGATGTGAAGGAGTCACGAAACTGTTCGAGTCAGAGTTCAGAATTTTTCATGTGAAATCGCGGCACAACAAGCCGAGTTCTCGAACTTGGCGATATTGATATATCGCTGTACACGAAAGAGTTTGTAGTAGATACAGAGTTCAAGTTAGGTATCACTCGCGTAATACGTGTTGAAATACCAAAAATACTTTTAATAGAACTGGAAAAATATTTAATTAATAAAAAGGTTTACAAAAGCCTATTATCCGCGACGACGTTCAAATCCACACTGATGTACTAAGGTATAATTTCTAAGTTATTGCAAAATGCTGAGTCAATGGAAAAATGTAAAATAAGTACACGTAATGCAGTGGAACACACGTGTTGCAGCGTCAGCTGTTTATTATTGTATTCTTATTAATGTTATTTAATATATAACAG